ACAGTAAACAGCAGCAGAACGTATCTAGTCCATAACTTGCGGTGAACTGACCGCCCAGATCTTCTGAAGCTGCTCGAACTCGTCCGACAGTCCTGGGAACGCCGGCGCCCCCTGCAGCATCTCGATGAAGATGCAGCCGGCGCCCCTGATTCAAACACAGCAAACTTTATTGACCCGCACAGACGCTGCCGTTCTTCAGGAAACTTTCTGTGACGTCCACGCTCACCACATGTCCAGCGCCGTGGAGTAGTCGGTGGAGCCCAGCAGCACGTCGGGCGGGCGGTACCACAGCGTCACCACCTCCGACGAGAACGTCTGGCTGGGGATGGACTTGGACCGGGCCAGACCTGAACCGGAACCAGAACCAGAGAGGCCTTCAGGAGCTTCACTGGAGTCCATTTAAATGAACTCTACGGACTCAGACTGGGTCCAAAGACAGATTCCTGACCCTAACCCTGGAGTCAGATCCAGTCCAGAGGTTTCAGAAGAACTCAAACTGTGTCAGCGTGAAGCAGCCCAGAGACGACTGTTCCCGCTCTGCTCACCGAAGTCGGCCAGCTTGAGCTCTCCCAGGTAGCTGATGAGCAGGTTGTGGGGCTTCAGGTCTCGGTGCAGGATGCGGCGGCTGTGGACGTAGCAGAGGCCTCGCAGCAGCTGGAACATGAAGATCTGCAGCAGAACACAGTCAGACGGAGAAGGTCCGGAGAAGGTCCACCTGAACCGCTCTGCTGCAGGAGAACCTACCCGCACGTTGTGGGAGTGCAGCCCCCCGGGGTGCTGCTGCAGGTACTGCGACAGGTCGGTCTGCTGCAACGCAACCACACACAGCAACTCAGCAACTCAGCAACTCAGCAACTCAGCAACTCGACAACTCGGCAACTCGACAACCGACGGCAACGTACCAAAACAAAAGGTCTACATAAACAGGAAGCAGCTAACAAAATAAAAGACCAAAAAATAAACAATGAAATGTGGAAAAAACAACAAACAGATCAGTCCTCTGGTTGGTTCTGATCCGAACTCGCCCCACAGCGACAGTGGATCAGAACCTGAACGGACTTCATCACAGGGCTGCACAGGTTCTACCGGGTTCTAATAGGTTCTACCGGGTTCTAATAGGTTCTACCGGGTTCTAATAGGCTCTGCCAGGTTCTAATAGGTTCTACCGGGTTCTAGTAGGCTCTACTGGGTTCTAATAGGTTCCACCGGGTTCTAATAGGCTCTACTGGGTTCTAATAAGCTCTACCGGGTTCTAATAGGCTTTGCCGGGTTCTAATAGGTTCTACCGGGTTCTAGTAGGCTCTGCCGGGTTCTAATAGGTTCTACCGGGTTCTAATAGGCTCTGCCGGGTTCTAATAGGTTCTACCGGGTTCTAATAGGTTCTACCGGGTTCTAATAGGCTCTGCCGGGTTCTAATAGGTTCTACCGGGTTCTAATAGGTTCTACCGGGTTCTAATAAGCTCTACCGGGTTCTAATAAGCTCTCCTGGGTTCTAATAGGTTCTACCTGGTTCTAATAGGTTCTACTTGCTTTTACAAAATCCACCAGACACTGCGTTAAAAATCAGCTGCCAGAACCAGCCATGTTTGGAACCATGTAGGTCTGGAAGCTTTTACAGCAGAACCTTCACTCACAGGTTAAACGGGTCACAAGGTTCTGAATGTTCTTCGTCTGATTCTGGGTTTCAACATATTTTAGGGTTTTTAGGCAGTTTGACTGATTTCAACTGAAATCAAGAATTCTGTTTCTGTTCGGTTACAGTGACGTCACACCTGATGAAGACAGGTTCTACCGGGTTCTACCGGGTTCTACTGGGTTCTACCGGGTTCTAACAGGTTCTAACAGGTTCTACCGGGTTCTA